CTCTGCCAACGTTGAAGCATTTGCCAGGAATGCAGATGCTAAGTCCTGTTTCTTACGTAGCTGATAGAGCCCTGCACAGCAGAGCTTTAAATCTCCCCCACTGTGGCTGCACCATTCCTGAAAGTGTTCCAGACCAGGTTGGTTGGGGCTTGGAGCAACCTGGTCTAGTGAAAGGTATAACCTGGTCTAGTGGAAGGTTCCACCCCCATGGCAAGGAGTGGAACGAGATGACCTTTAAGGCTCTTTCAACCCAGACCATTCTGTGGAATGGAAAATTTGTGTTTGGCTCTGCAGTGCTGCAATGGCCTCTTAAAGAAGCTAATAGTGAGAGAGCAGCATTTACAGGACTTTCAAGGTCAGTGTGTGGCAGCTCAGGGGTGCAGGTGAGAGCTTTGCTCCAGCATTGCTGCACAAACCCTTTAAATAATTTGTGGTTTGTGCTTCTGACCATAAAAGCATCGCAGGTCTCGGTAGGCAGCGTGGGACATGTAGCCACAACCAAGAGAACTGAGCACTGAGGTGTCAGCGCTTGAACTCAGGTTTAAGTGCTATAAACTAGGTATTTAGTAATACTCCTTGAAGGATTCCCAGAAATGGTCTTATACTTTGCAAGAATTCAAGTTGTAGCTCCTACTTTTTGGATTTGGTGCTTCTTTAGGTGTTTTGGTCTCTGCTGCAGGGAGGTGGCTCCTCATGGACTGGGGAGATAGGTGAAAGCAGAGCTTTTAAACCTGCAGCTGACTGCCTGATAAAACCTACCAGCCCTATGAGGACAGGCTGAGGGAGTTGGGCCTTTTCAGCCTGGAGAGGAGAATACTACGTGGAGACCTCAGAGCAACTTTTCAATATCTGAAAGGCCTACAAGGAGCTGGAGAGGGACTCTGTGTTAGGAGCTGCAGTGATAGGACAAGGGGCAATGGGTTCAAATTGAAGGAGGGAAAGTCTAGGTTGGATGTGAGGAAAATGTTTTTCCCTGTGAGGGTGGTGAGACACTGGCACAGGTTGCCCAGGGATGTGGTGGCTGCCCTGACCCTGGTGGTGTTCAAGGCCAGGCTGGATGATCCTGGAGTGACCTGATCTAGTGAGGAGGTGTCCCGGCCCAGGGTAAGGGGGTTGGGACTAGATGATCTGTGAGGTCCATTCCAACCCCTAAAATTCTATGATTGTGTGATTTTTATGATATGGCTTTCTAAAACTTTCAGTTTGCATTTAGAATCGATAGGGAACCATTTAAAACCTCTTGTCTAGTAATATATTTCTATTTCTCTATAGAAAGGCAAGATGATATATGTATTTTTCACTCTAAGGGTGAGGGCTTGAGGCTCATCTGAGGGCTGAGTACCTTAAATACACCAGGAAAGACCTGTATTTCCACCAGTGCTTTCACCAGAGAAGCTGTTATTCCATAGGGGAATGCAGCTATTATTCTGTAGAGGAATAACATTTAGTTCAGATTATCTATAGAACAGCATCTTATTGCCATATGAGAACAAACCACCATGGTCTTTTCCTAGATGCAGAGGTTTGGAAAATAACCTTATTTTAGGAAAGCCATTAAAATAATCCTTATTCTGGCTATAATCTGGAAATAATGCAGATTGCATCACTATTCAGTCCTGAACGAAGAGACCACGAGTCTCTGGGATGAGGCAAGGAGGAACGTGGAGCATTCAGCCAGGAAACTGTTAATTCCTTTTTTTCCTGCCATCCATGATAAGCATCCCTTTGTGCAGGAGGGCTGGAAGAGGCAGAAGGAATGGAGCTGCTGCTCCTCTGCCTTCTCCAAACTGTTGAATCACCAGGTCCAGGGGGACATTGAGCTCCTACAGAGGAACGTATTGAATTCTGTTTCCTTCAAAATGTTGAGCCTTGGCCAGTAAAAGCTTTGGTCTCCCCAAGAATTTTCGGAATGCTGTTACGGAGTTTTGTCTGTTGAGCTGCTCAGCAGCTTTGAATCAAGGAGTCAGTAAAGGGCAATAGCATGAACAGAAGATAATTTGTTTTCGAGAAGTAGTTGTAACTTATTTGGTGTTTTTGGAGGCTGAGCTATTATATTCTGCCGCGGTCGCAGGGGGATGTGGTGTTCTGGTCGGGTGTATAAGGATTAGACAGACATAAATTGAATTCACAGTGCTTTTTTTTATAGCCTCCCAGTCGTGCTGAAGGAACGGGGTGAGTAAACCAACCAAAAATGTATTAAGTTGTCTCAAATTAAACACCAGGCGTTTCTGCAGCTACTTGTTGGCCCGTGCCCAGCGTTCCTGTGCCGTGCAGTCAGCCCCAAGTTTGCACAAGGCAGGATCCAAAGAGCTTTCTCATTTCCATCAGCAGCAAGGAGAAATGCATGAAAGAGGGATATTATGGGCTATGATTTCGGTAGGCGTTTGGGTTATAAAGTATAATGTGGTCTGGCACCTTAGGCCCGAAGAAAGCTCATGAAAAGGAGGAATCTCGCTGTTCCCCACTCCTGTGTTTGGAATGTTCTCTCCTAAATGTTCCTTGCTACTGAATTTTTTAGGTGTATTCCTGGGCAAGGCTTTTCCCAAAGAAATCCTAGTAAATAGTCCTCGTTTCTCTCCAAGGTCTTACTTAAGGTATAAGCACAGCGAACCAAACCAGAAAATCCTTTTAATATTGTTCTAGCTTAAGTTATTTAAGTAGATAATAGAATCATAGAATTTAGGGGTTGGAATGGACCTCACAGATCATCTAGTCCCAACCCCCTTACCCTGGGCAGGGACACCTCCTCACTAGATCAGGTTGCTCAAGGCTCATCCAGCCTGGCCTTGA